AATTATATTTAATGAAATAAGATTTTTTTTTTGTTATTGTAACGACCCGCCTAACCGTCACACTGCAGAACAATACTACACAAGAGTAGAATATACATACATAAATATATATATATATATATATATATATATCCAGCCTAAGGCTTAACAAGTCAAAGTATATCTAATACTAACAAAATGTTACCCTAAGGTAGTCTACACAAAAGATCAGCTCCAGTCACCACCTGTGACACTACTGTTACTCTCCAGCCTATTCCTGCTTTGCTCCCATACATAATATGATCATTGCAGTCCAAATCACATAGAAACATGCAAGGGTAAGCTAGTGAAAATAATCAACATATAGATATAAACAACTTACAACTTCAACAACAGAAACAACATTTTCAACAATTCAACGTTCAACACATAACAACACCCAACTTAATCACAGCTTCACAACATCACAACAGATATGCAACTAAAGCAACACAAAATCAACACATCAACAACTTATGCGTCGTCATGCATTTCAACTTGGAGATCTCCTACAACATGGGTGAGCAGTCTAAGTGGCTAGGTTCTACCGAACCAACAACACAACTTTTTTGGGCTTGCTAGGTAAACAACAAATTTGGATATCAATCCACAATACGATAACGGTTTCTCAGACTTTGTCACTTAAACAAGGAAGTATAGTACTCTGTCAAGATAGAACAACTGGGTTTAGGCCTACCACGACATTAGCTAGCTCAACTAAGCTACCTATGGGATTAGCCTACCGACTATCCTCCAAATACTACAACCCTCTGATACTTGGTTAGGAACTAAGTTCCCGACTTTGTACTTTACTCAAATTGGTCGCTTGTAATCGGTATAGCTCGACCTGACCCCTATACCATGGTCATTTCATACACGTGTGCCTCGACCTTGCCCACACACAGGACTAACTAAGTTATAGAGGAGAACAACACATCATCCACGATCCAATGGCCAACTTCCCAATGAGGGTTTTCAACAAATTGGGCTCTTAGAGCACCACAACTACCTCAATCCGCACAATGGGATGAACAACTTCGAGAACATCTTCCCTAGTCCTAGTGATCAACAACTTGTCATCACAACACAATCAACTTACAACTCACAGTACAATTTAGCTTAACAACTTAAATAACACACAACTTTTCAACTTATCTTCTCAATCAACTTTCAACTTAAAACAACGTGGTCAACTCATAATTTTAACAACACAACTCATTCAAATCATACATACGAAATTTCTACACAATAAACAACTATATCTCCTCATCATATCACAATATTCAACATTTTCTTAATCATAGGGCCAAAGACCTTCATGCCCGGCGCAAGTAAACTCGCGCCCCGCCTGAACCCAACTCGAGAGTTCTAAAGCTCTCTCACGCCCGGCGTAGCATCATCATGCCCGACGTGTTGGTAGCCAGAGACTTCAAGGAGTCTCCCAAGCCCGGCGTGCCCAAATCACGCTCTACGTGAAATCAAGCAGAGACCTCACAAGGGTCTCGCGCTCGACGCAATCCTCTACGCTCAGCGTCACCCAGGCAAAGACCCCCAAGGAGTCTCTACGCTTGGCGTGCTTAGAGCACGCCCAGTACCATATCAGTAATCAAAATCATAAGGCAAACATCTGATATCGCGCCTGGCGCCAAGAACTGCACCTAGTGTGAACTCAAACAGCAACCCTCACAACTTCAAAAATTTTAACCAAAAACCTGAAAATCGGCCAACTCAGACACATGCAATCCATGAAATGAAATACATTTACTTCATGTAGTTCAAAAACAAGCTTAATTTCAACATGCAACCATCAAACGCATCAAAATCACCAAATTCCCAATTTTTCCCGAAACCCCGAAAATTTGAAATTCTCCAATCCAACCATGAATTCTTAGAATTCATACATCAATTTGAGTTTCTAAAATCACATACAACGAATCGATCTATAATCTAGCTTCCCTCACCTGAAGATTGACTCAAAACGGCCAAGAATAGGAAGAAGAAGATTTTCCCCTCGAGCTCAACCCACGGGCTTTAATTCTCCAGAACAAGCTTCTCCGCCTGAATTGCAAGAAGGAAAGAAGGAATTAGTGACCTAGGGGAAGATTCAAATAGAAAAGTTTGGGAGAGAAAGAAGCTCACGGACCAGAGTCCTTCTCTCTAAAACCTCTATAAGTTTATTTGAGAATGAACTTTATGAGGCTCTGTTATTAGAGAAAGCCTTAAATATCCTTCCCTCTAGCATTCACTAACCTTGAACCAACGTACTACGTCACAGTTATGCTTATAAAGTTTAAATTAGATGCATTTTATAATATAAATTGGAGTTAATTTAAAGAAAAATTGCTTAAAGTATTATATTATATTTATTTATTTAATATTTATTTAAATTATGTTTAGAAAAGTTAAAAAAAATATTTATTATTTTAAAGTATTATATAAGAAATTTAAAATAAACGTAGATAATTTTTATTATTATATATTGATTGCAGTTAATTTTAAAAAATGATTAAAGTATTATATTAAATTAATTTTATTCATATTTTTTTTAATTATTTTAAATTTAAATAATAAATTAAATATATATATTTACTTAATTTATTTTTTAAGAGATTTTTTAATTGATAAGTTAACTACTATTTAATTGTAGTCTTAAAGTATTATATTTGATTCACTTATAAATTTATCAGAAAATTTTATCTTTTATTTATAATTTTAAAGTATTATATTAGATTCATTTAACTAATATTTCATTAATTTATTTTAGAAAAAATATAATT